CCCCTTTTTCTAACTTTTTGTTGGATTTGGGCCAATTTTGAATGATATTTTGACCATTTTTTTAACATTTGGGCTAGTTTTTGAATTACATAATAGGGATTTAGGCCAAATTTTAGACAGAGATTTTAAATTTTCATATAATAATATATTATATGATTTATAATTTATATAAAATTATTTATTAATTAAAATTGGAGTCTTGGAGTTAGAATTTTTTTGAAAATAATTTCAGACTCTGACTCCGTTAAACTCCAACGGAGTCAGAATCAATGTCAAATTTTCTATTTTTTACACACTCTAGATAGGAGGTTTATGTACTAGACTGTATAACCAATAACGTCAAAAGAAACTTTATCAAACATAAAAAATGCACACGTTATGTGCATCCAAAATATTACTCAAGTAATACAATAATTTTTAGTCTTATTGAAAGTTATTTTTAATTGGTCTACTATGTCCCGAGAAAAGAGAGGTGAAGCCAGAGAGATGGTTGGCTAAGATGTGTAGTTAACTATGTTTATGTAAGAGAGATCAATGAGAAATCAGAATCTTGAGCTAGTTAAGTGAGCAATTAAGAAGAAAGCAAGACAACAAGTGGAAAGAAATTCTCATCCTCACCCTTATGGACTCAAAAGGAACTGCCCAGATAATTCAGGAGCAAAAGGTGTTGGAGAAAGCTATATGCTGAAAATGATGAAACATTCTTAACTACATTTCTTTAGCTCATTTGTATGAACAACTAGTATTTAACATAATTATACGGACACCCCTTCATATTAAAAATAAAACTAAGAATGCAATGACAATACTTGTAACACCGCTTCTTCGACCAACGGACATTAGTATTAACAGGATGACATCAGCCAAATAATTCAAATATTGTGAAGAATGCCTCTCCTAAGGTTAGACTAACATTATAAAAGACTAGGCAAAGGAACACAGTGTTGTCACAAACAGTCAAAATTTCCTACTATTCAAGAAGAATGAAGACTAATATTTCCATGGTCTCAGACATACAGAAGCTAGTGCCAGAGTAAATCTTGATATGTATTATTGATCTACGACCACTAGCTAATGACTCAATTGAAACTATTGGCAAAACAGAGCCAGATATTATCAAATGAAATTACAGAAGCACAACATTTCTGTAAAACCCCCATTTTCTTTTATATATGTATTTAGATATATAGTATGGTAAAAAAAAATTTGGATATATNTTGTTAAGATTTTGTCAACGAGGGTACAACAGTGTGAAATAAGGATATATAATAGTTCATTGTTCTGTCACCTGAAAGTTGTAACGAATTTTTGTGGTAGTATGATGCAGTCATGCAGTGGCTCTGTTTTGTATGGTGGAAATTTTGATAATATTTGCTAGGTGCATTTTGGTCATTAATGAACATGAATCTAAAGATGCTATTAGTTTTGTTCTGAATTTCTCAAAATGTCATACATATTTTTTACCATGTTCATTGTGTATGAGTGCCATCGAGGTTANGAAACCCAAAACAGCCTGTGAACAGTGTTTTTCGGGGCTGCTATGTTTTAAACTCATTTTCATCTCATTTGCTCTCATTTCCTTCACTCCCCTCACACCTCATGAAACCCTAAGGAGNAAAAGTTCAAAAAAAAAAAAAGGGTATGTGGATTTGAGCTCGAGAATTTACTTTTTCAAAAGTTCTAATATTTACTTAAAAATCTTGATATTGACAAAAGTAGGCGTGGGTTCTGATTTTGATGGAGCTGGAGAGCACAGACACTTACCCCGACTCTGATTGGAGTCGAAGGGGATTTTGCCCTTTGACTTTGACTCTAATTTTAAATTATTACGGGTCTGCTTTCGACTCTATCTCGTCAGAGGTGGAGCAGAGTTTTAGAGTTGTGCCGGACCAAGTTTTTAGAGTTGGGCCAGATTTGGTCCAATTTTTATTGAATTTTTAATATATATTTTTTTTCATGAAAATTGAAATCAAGTATAATATGAAAATCTCTTCTGCCAATAGGTCTAGATGAGATCTTATTGGGTCAGTAAGAATATTAGATATAATCTATCTAGTAAGTAGATCCATAGGACTCTTTTTCTTCTTTTTATTTCCTATTCTGGCCATAAATTAAAAGACATTTTGCTGTTATAATTATCCAACTATCCAATTGAATATATTTCGCTTCTCTCTCATCCCTCTTTCGTCCTATTATCTCTCTCTAACACACACACAAGTGATCACAATAACAGTCACATGACGTACGTGAAGGGGAGAGCGATTTATGTGAGATTTTTTAGAATCTAGGTGGAATTTTTTAGGATCTATTAGAGAGAGATTTTAATTGAGAGATTTGCGTGATATTGTTTAGGATATGGATGATGATTTTTAGGTTCTGACTTTATTTTAAGGTTCCTATTGTCTTTTCTCACACACTTGTACTTAAT